AATTACGCGTATATATGTAATTTCAACCTACTAATTAATTTACCATACACCTGCCCACCATTAAATTTCACTTCAATTTTATTGGAAATAGGTCAAGTAATTAAATAGGACAATAATTGATATCAACACACTATACAATATATTTATTAAAAAATAATTATTTTTTATATGAAATTAAAGGTATATAAACTTAAAAATGAAGTCTACACACATAATAAAGAACAATTTCAATTGACTATATTTATATTATATTTTTAATGACAAAACCAAATAAATGTAAAAAATGTATTGAATCGAGTGTATATTAATAATTTTCCAAAAATAAATTGAAAATTTACAAAGGGTTTTTTTAACATGTGCCTCTAAGAGTATAATTAATATGTTTTTTAAACAATAATTGATATTACAAAATATAAAAGTTAAAATTAATTTAATTATGAATACCATGTGGATTATTTTAATTAAACAATTGACTGAATAAATAAAATTAAATTTTTACCTTTTTTTAACACCAATTAATATTGTAAAAAAATGTATCCATTACACTCTTAAAACTCAATTTAGAAAAACTCATTTACAAAAATGTAATGCCTTCATCGAGAGACAATTACATGACATATTTCTAAAAGAGACATAAATTTAAATATCTAATCTTGATGCTAAATTAAGGTTTCAATAGTAGGTGTCATTGTATCAATACAGCTAAACTCCATTCAATTGTACAAAAAAGGAAAGAAAAGAAATTGGTGAAAATCCTTTTATGATGGTCAACGAGGAGTTAAAATTGGCATTATGAACCTATATATACGTAAAACTACGCGGTGAGAATCAACCCAGTTGCTTGCTCCAATTCATCCAACGAAGAGTTAAAATCCACTGCTATGAGCTGTAATCGCACCTTCGGCCCACTGGTTTGGCGGAAAGAACCCTATCGGACGGAGGAGAAACACCGTGGGTTGTTTTAGCCAAACAAGAGAAATGGCCTTTTTTTCCGATTGACTCTAGATCCAGAGTCCATACCCCCAGTAGTGAACTCCCCATTGTGGCAAGGGTTTGTCACCTGGGGGGTCACGTGCTAGGTGTTACAATAATTAAGCTGGTTTTAATCGCATGCAATTGTATATGGAAAAGAAGAAAAGGAAAAAAAAAAAATACTTCTAGAAGTCTTGATTAATTAATTTAGCACACCCACATGATCGAAAACTTTTGATCCTTTGGTTTTTTTGCATGACCACTTTAAAGGATGGAAATCAAGATGGAATTATTTTAGTAAGAGATATTGATGATATATATATGGCTAATACTTGTGCGTCTTATTTTTAAAAAATTAGGAGAAAAAAAGATAAAAATATTTTGATTCATATTTTAAAAATAAAATATTTTAATTTTTTTTCAATAAGTGTTTATTAAAATAAAATAATTTTGAAATATTATTTTTTGTAATCTTTAAGAGATAAAACGGATAAACACTATTATATATATATAATATATGGATACACACGTGAAGCTGAAAAGAAAAAAAAAATTGTGGGTGCTATGTGAGTTGTAACTATCATTTTGAGGTATGGATGAAGGGGAGTAGGGGTTTAATTTTGGGAAATTTAAAAAATAAGGGAAAAAATGATTGGAAATTTATTGACGGTATTATAGATTGAGAAAGGACAAAGATTAGTTCGATTAGGTTAGGTTTTGGTGAGGAAAGGTTCGATCTCTCATTTATTTTAAGAAAAAGAAAGAATTAGAAGCAATGATAACTTATAGAAAAATGATTGATTATCCTCTAATTTAACACATCTAACAATATTTATTAGTTTAGTCATTAAAATTTACTTTTGAAAATTTTTCTATCGTAAATTTAAATTTAAAAATATTAATTTTTAAATGATTGAATTGGTGGGTGTTATTAGGTATATTGAACCAAAAGATATATCAATCATTATCGTAAGTTATATTATGATTGGGTTTGGCTTGGTTCGAACGTGTCTGCCTGTCTGGTAAATGAGCTGAAATCAAATTGTTACTTGGGATACAGTTTCATTTTGTAAAGTGTTTTTTTAATTTTTATCTTTAAATATTCTTTTTAACAATTAATTTATATTAAAAAATGATTAGTGTACAATTCAATTTAACACAATCGGTCAAATTCAATCAATTCAGTTATTAAAATCAATAATTTTAAATTTTTTTATTTGTAATTTAAATTTAAAAATAATAAATTTTTTTAATAAAATATACTAAATTGAATGATATTTGTATCAGTATCCCTTACATTGAAAAATATAAAAAT